GAATAATTGACCATCTTTTGTCAGAAGGATCAGTCACATAAAATGCTTGTTTTGATTGGGTAGCCATGATAAATGTTTCGTTCATATAAGTTGCCTTGCCAAGGTCAACTCGTGTAAATTGAAACTCATCAGTTTGTGCACCAATGTTATTGCTAACCCACATGCGTTTAAGTAAAGACACTTTAAATAAAACATAATCAATCTCTCAAATATCCTAAATGATCCCAAAGTACATTATAGATGCCTATATATGATTCTTATATTTCAAACTAGAGAAATAAATGGATTCGGTCTCAACCATAACCCTACTATTTTGTATTGTACTACAACCATCTTTTGATTTTGTATAATTTTGAATAATTTTGAATAATTCCATCAAAACATAGGTGATGGAATTTTTTTTCTTTGAAAATTTATTGATATTACCATAATTAACACAAGGACAATAAAAGAGACCATTATTATTGGGAAGATTTTTTTTCCAGCATATTCAAGGAATTCAAAAACTCTTTTCTCATACATCGGACCTAATCTATCATATTTCATCCAACTATAGTCCATAATAAATTATGAAATTTATATCAAAAGTTTGTAGAATCATTTAAAAATACAACAACACAATTAATTATAAAACAATCTTAATATCACTCAATCACAATAATATATACCATTCCCAACAACATAAAAACATTATCAAAATCACTCAACCACAACAACACTAATATGAATGACACACTAATGCTACACACAACATACTAATATGGTTATGTGTTGCATACACATATATACAACCTACATTCACACAACATACTAGAGGTTCATACACACTACATAATAATATGGTTTTATTATCGATTTTTATTTATAAAAATATAATATTTAACAACACCAAAATCTAAAACTCAACATGAATGGTCACAAAGGTGATGAAATAGAGAATGTATCACAAGTTGAAGAAGAAGTTACAAGAAATGAATGACCAAGAAACGCCCTTTGTATGCGCTCGCTTTCGTCTTGTAAGAATAAGAATTTTGGACGTTCCAAAAAATAAATGAGAGTTAAGAAGATGAAGTTTAGAAGTCCGATTTCCTATCACTTTCGTCTATTCTTCTCTAGATCACTTGTGTTCTGAAGGAAATAAACAAAACCTAATATGTTTTGATTTTAAAGAAACACATTTCACCACTTTTGAAAATTCCAACCATAATGAAACATATTAACATATAACCATGGTTGACAAATACAACTATGGCAAAAAAAAATTAATTTTAATATAACTAGAAATTAAGGGACATACCCTTTGTGGTATAGAAAAAATGGAAAAATAATGGTGCTTAGATTCAAAGCATGTAAGCCTTAACATATCACCACAATTATTATTATGGACCGTAGTGATATCTCTTTAAATAAAATAGAAAAAATACGGGCGCCTAAATAATAGCTATTACTTAGGTTGATTGATTATCCAAGGTAATAACACGTTATGATAGGTCTATTTTGTAGTAGTAGAGAGTTGGAGATTTAGGTTCATATGTGGATAAAGTATGGTCTTGGGATCTCATATGTAAGAAAGATATATTTGTTTTTTAACTTGAGTTGGCGGGTAACTTGTTTTGTGTCATTGTGGTTTTTTCTGATCATGGGAAGATGATTGTTTGGGCTAGGTCACTTGAGAAGGAAGATTTGTATTCAGTGAAAATGGATTATATCTTCATATCTTAGCCCCTAATGCTTAACAACTATCTTTATTTTTAAATTGATCTAAATCTCTCTCTCTCTCCCTCTCTCTCTCTCTCTCTTGTATGAAAATGTTGAGCCCTTTCAAAATTTCTTGTATTCTCTTTACAACTTATTAGAGATGGAATTTCCACCAGGGTTAAACTTTGAGATGTAGGGTGATTATTGACCTGGGTGGCGTAGGTTGTATTTTGTGGCTAGGTTGAGAGTTGGTTTTTCCTAGGAGTATAGAGTTGATCTTAGACGCCGTGAGAACCTTTGGGTCTATGTTTAGAATTAGGTCAATTTATCTTTGGTTTGACATTGGGTGGTGCGATCCATATGAGAGTACCGTAATGAGTTCATCTTTTCTAGGTCTTTATCTCGTAAAGGAACTGTTAAACATAGTGTTTTTTTGGTCTTGAAAATGGTTTCTTGATAAAATCTCTTCTTTTTTTACACCTTCTCAACATGGACAGCTAAACTTATTTTGCGCTTGCATCGTTAGGTTGTTTTTGAGGGGTTGGAGTCTCAACGATTGGTGGTGGTGTGTGAAGCAACCAGAAAAATCATCGAGAAAAATCAATGAAGTCGCCATCGAATATTTATTTATCCCATGGAAGGGAAAGGAAAACATCTAAGAAAACCTGATAAGGGAGAAATCACGATCTTGCGATCGAGAGATCGGGTACGGGAGTCGATTGCATAAGAGGAAGGTATTAGTGCCCCTTACATCCGCGGTGCTCCACGAGATCCACTCTTGTTGTCTAATCTAAAGGGTGTGTTTGAATCTAAAGCTATGTTGCAAATGGAATGCATGGATGCAAAGGATTATATACAAAAATAAAAGGTTTTATTAGTTGTGCCTACCGCAGTTGCGAGCCTTTGTGCCTATGTACCACCTTTCATGCAATAGAAGCTCAGAGCACTCGTAGTTCTTCTAGAAAATGCTGGTTGGTTTGCATTTTTTAAGCGGATATTATTACATTCACACTCCAGTAGTTGAAAGAGTGCCACTTGACCTTTGGGGAATTACACATCATTTTGCATGGAGAGGAAATAATACATCCTTTTAGAGAAAAAGTTTTCAAAGAAAAGCCCGAAGGCAGTCTGAATACAAAAAGGTTTGAATTGGTTGGTGATTTTGGTGGGATGATAACAAATGGATCCCAATAGAGCGACACTCACTACTTCTTTGCTTATTTGGGAAAATGAGTTGGTGAATTGAATCGTAATAAATTCATAAAATGGAAGAAAGAGTAAGATTCAATGTAGACCGATTCGCTCTACCCCACAAGACTCAACTGCATACGATTCACATCTTTATTTATCAAATATTTTAGAGTTTGATAAAGAAAAAGAGTTTTAGTTTTAATGATGCAAAAGTGGAAGAGAAAAAAGTCTAAGGGAGACTAATAATCCTAATGTTATCATGCAATGGTGGTCCTAAAGTTTGGATACAAAAAGGATATATCTACCTAAGTTAGCATGCATAGTTTACAAACCTAATGTCTACCTTGATTTAAAAATGAAACAAGTGAACCTAAGGGAACATGCAAAGGTGAAAGGAAGTAAACACAAACAAAGATGCTAAAAAGCATCAAGCATGAATTATTTGTACATGAATCCAATATAGATGAGTCGAGAGACCCTTGTTCCACTAGAATAGCTCTATCACAAATTGAGTAACAACTTGAAGCATCAACATTAAGAATCGCGAGCTAAATATCGCCAAAATTATGACAAGGTGTGGGGGCTTATTACAAGCCTTCTTCCATTTTATTGACTCAAAGGACAAGAGAAGAACGATTCAAAGCATCAATGTGTAATGCGATCTAAGAATTACCAAGGGACTTGAAACGTGGGGGCTTATTGTGAGCCCTATTGTTCCACTTTTATTGACTCGATTGCAAGCACAAAGTAAAAGGGATAGGGGAATTTCCTTCGTTGAGGACTTTTCACAAATGCCTTCTTCGAGGTCATTAAACAAATTCCTTCTTCGAGGTCTTTAAACAACCACACAGAGTTTTCCCCTTTTTGAGGTCTTTTGCAAACATAAAGAAATTTCCCCTTTTGGGGGTCTTTTACACAAACAAGAATTGCCTACTTTGAGGACTTTAAACAGATTTACAATGCCTACGGCGGTAGGTCTTCGGCTCATGCATCTCTATTCCTACTTCTCATGGCAAGGAAATCAAAAGACAATGCGAAATCGAAAACATAATAGGAACAATACCAAACGAACAAGTGTTTGTCGCAAAGCGTAACAAAGCGTAAGAAACCTGAAGATCTTCATGAAAGCTTCACCAATCAAAGAAAATATTCAGAAATCTAATGCTCGGAATAAAGGTCAAAGAATCATCAATGTAAAAATAAATCACAATCGAAAGATGCATCAAGCATGTCAGCATATTAAATAATAATCCTGCACAAAATTCAAGTCCAGACAAACAATAACAATCCACAAGTCTCATGAAATGAGAATCCAAACTCAAATGCGTTAGCAACAAATCCAAACCAAAAAGGAAGTGGATAAAGGCTTTAATCGAATAATCAAGAATTAACTTATAAAATCAAATAAGAAAATCTAACAAATTTTTATTGATTTTATAATTTTTTATCATAAAAAGATATAGAAAAATTAAGAGAAAATCCTAAATATAACAAGAAAAAAGAAGGATCAGGGGGTGTTAAGCTGGATCAGAGGTGTATGGTAAGATGATCATGTGCTAGGCCAAGCAGGTTTAGGTCCAGGGGCGGTTTTTGTTGTAAAATCAAGTTTTGCCTTCAAAAAAACAAAGTGATGGGCCTAAGGGTGGAGAGTGTTTGGTCCAGCCCACTCCAATCATCACCAATTTCATTTTTATTATCTCCCAGTTTTTTTTATCAAATTGATATTAATATATAAAATATATTTAAAAAACACAGTAACAAGGTGAAAACGATGCGTTTTGGTTAAAATTCTAGGGTTTAGATTTTATGTCCTTTGAATTTCTCAAACAGACTCCTCTCCCTCATCAAACTAGCACCGCGAAAGACAACACAAGTTCACCGTCTCTCATATCTTTCCACCGATCACCACCGTGAATTCATCACCATTCAGTCATCTCAACCACACGTCTTAATTTCGATTTTGCTCATCTCATATGCCTCACATCCTAGTCCGGATTCCTCCGTTTTGTTGGCTTCGCCCTCCATCTGCGCGGATTCTTAACCTCCTCTGATTTCGATCTCTCTCATCGATTCATATACAGAAATACGAAAGTAATAAATAAATCTGAAGCTTACCTAACAAAGAACTCTGGTAGTTCTTCAACAGCGGCGAAGACGAGAAATCTCGAACAAGTAAGCTTTTCAGTTCTTTGCTTCTGCAGATTCCGATTTCGCTTCTTCACTTTTTCATTTCTACTTGTTTCTTCTGAGAAATTTTTATGTTCATGATTCTCTTTCGTTTGCATTTTTGCTGTGTTGCTGTTACGGATCGAAGATGCATGGTGTTGATGATGCATAATTGGCAAATTGATGACGGTAATACGATGAAGACGCAATGCGAATGCTGCGAACAACTACATATTTGTTATGACAGAAGGTTGTGTAAAGAAGAGAGGAGTGAATACTAAAGTAAATCAACGCCTTCATGATTATACAGAAAGAAAATTGTTGTGTTAATGTTGTTGTTATGTGCAGATAACCTTTGAAGGTGATGAAGAAATGCAGAGATCATTGTTGAAGCAGAGAGATTCTTGAGATATTTCTCAGAGTTTTCTGGTGTGATTCTTCCCAATCATTGTAGTATGAATGGATATGAAGGTAAGTTTCTTTTATATAGTCGATTAGAGTTTGATGAATAATAACCCTTGGATCTGAATTTTGTTAGAACAATGAATGGTTCAGATTAAGGCTTGAGTGAAGCTTGTTAAAGAGGTTTGAAACATGCTTAGCTGGAATATCTCTCCCTTTGTACTGATTTTCTGATTTAATATTTGTGTACTAATTTTTGTACTATTTTCCTTTGATTTTTTGTTATGAGAGATTTAATTCTCCTTCTATTTCTGCTTTGAGCTTCACTTTTCCTTATGTTTTTTTATTATGCAGGGCCTTGGTTATGTTTGGACAACATCTTGGTCTTTAATGTGAGTAGCAAATTGATGACATGGACAAGAAATCTACCTTTGATGAAAGTGAAGCATATTTGAAGGCATGATGCATCGGATTCGAAGAATAGATAGGTTTAGGATAGATTCCAAATTCTGACTTTTGCGATGTAATTTGCACTATTTCTAACCATGTATGAAAGCAAATTATTTCCCCTTCATACTTATCTTAAATTTCATATCCTTTCCTTTGATTCTTGGCTTGTAATATTGAGTTTATGGCATCACCCAAAACTATAAGTAATACTTGGACAAACTCTTTTACGTGAAATCCAAATCACATGCCTTGTGAATCATGCTTCAATGCCCCTTGTGATGGAATTTTGTTTGAAATTTTGAACATGACTTGTAACACTTTGTATTGTAAATCCAATAAAACTTGATACCTTTATGATACTTTGGAAACTTCAAAAAGTTGGGGATCCATAGTAAAATGAATGGCCACAAACCCGATGATGAATACAGATCAGATGAAAGGGACCTTAGGCTTATGCTTAGGACATTTGAGTTATAACCCAAGAATGTAGCTTGTACTATAAATACACCAGTTAACCAGATGAAGTATCTTTGGACCATGATGCAAACAAACCTGAATTGGTTAACTGAGGAATAGATGAATCCAATTCAATAATGTCATAGTCATTAACCTTGACCAAATGATAAGCACAATCGTATGCGGAGATGTCTTGATTCAAAGCCCATTTATGCTAGGGCACACCCTTGAGTTCTTGACAAGAAGACTCTGCAACTTGATGTTTAGAAGAAGATAATAGCCTTGTAGCTTAATGGAGAAGAAATCCAAAATGAGAATGAACCAAAACCCTAATTCTAAAGTCCAGTGCATAAAGAAGAACCAGAGAGATCAGACTTTATTGAATGAAGTCTCACACTAAAATAAAACCTTAATCTTGTGTGGTTACTGATCTTTTGAATCTCAGGCATTTTATGTGAATGAATGCATGACTATGTAAATGACCTAATGGTATGTATGCAGATGAAATGCAAAGCCTAAGCCAGATAAAAGTATCAATTATGAGGGAAATTTTTGGGGTGCAACAACTGCCCCTATTTAATCGTCTTAAACCTGGAGGTGAGATTGGCGCTAGCTCTTGAACTTTCAAGGTGGAAGAAGATTAAATACTAAAAGAACCTGAAAATTCATGCTCCGAAGAACGGGTGAATGATGCACTATTCTTTTTTATATGCCTCCACTAAAAAAATTTGGCAGGTAATAGGTGACATTCCCGTTGGGTTTCCTCGAAGGAAAAAGAAATTGTGTTGCCTGCTTGCAAAGGCGGACGAAAGGTGGAAAGGATGTTTAACCAAGCGTACTCTCAAAAGGTGAATATGAACTCTGTTGGGGAATAAGATTTCTCGTGCACAAGGCAGGGAACAGACACGGTGGAGATTCACGAATGGAAGACTCAATAGTAAGTTTACTAGGTCATGACTAAGTTTTGAAAAATAATTACTGGTGAAAACATGTTTGGCTTCAGTATGGTTACTGGACTATGGACCAACCAGGTGATTGGCACGACAAACATTTCAGGTTATAGGCGTCAACAGTGTTACTGGAAGACATGTATTCGGAAAAGGATTATGGTAAGGTTACCAACATTGGTAGGGTTACCGAAAGACAGATATTTGGAAAAAATATTATTGTAAGGTTGCTAACATTGGTAGGGTTATCGAGGTATCACAATCGGGTGATTGGGAAAGAAAGCCATAGTGAGGTCATTATCGTCAGTATGGTTACCAGAAGACATCAATCAGGTGATTGAGAAAATAAGGATAACAAGGTTGCTAGCATCAGTAGGGTTACCGGAAGGCTTCAATCGGGTGATTGGAAGAAAGGTAAGATTTTCAAGTTATGAACATCGGTAAGGTTATCGGGTAACAACAAGAGAGATTTGGTAAACAATAAGGTTACTGAAATCGTTATGGTTACCGGAAGGCTTCAATCAGGTGATTGGTAAACCAAGACAGATAAGGTTACTGGCATCGGTAGGGTTACCAGGAAAGAAAAGTTCCATTTGAAAGTGGATTTAGAAGGAAGATACCATCCGAATGTGGACTTTTAACATAGATATTGGAAATACATGTCAGGCCGAGGGTAGACATATAAAGGAAAGAGATCGACCGAAGGGGATTCTAACAAAGATTGTCGATCAAAGGAAAACTCAACAATGAAAAGAATACTAGCTGAAGGTAGACTTTTAACAAAGATAATGGAGATATATGTCAGGTGGGAGGTAGACATATACAAGAAAAAGACCGACCGGAGAAGGCTCTAACAAAGAACATCGATCGAAGGAGAACTTACTGGGGATACAAATAGACATTGACTCTGCATAGAACACTGATCAAAGGCAAACTTACAAATGAAAAAGAGATTAGCCGAAGAGGACTCAAGACAAGGATTTCCAATATAAGTTGGGATTTTAAGAGGATATTGATGTTTGCAAAAGCACAAGAACTACAATATTCCTCATGTCAAAGGCAGGGTGTAATTCTTCAAGAGTGGCAATCATCTGAATTACCACACACAAAGTATGGATACTCAAATACTTGAGAAGCAAGAAAGGTTATACACGGACTCTTACTCGCACTCTAATTGCAAAGGAAAACACAGGCAAACATATTGCAATAAGAGTTTTCTTAAAGCAAGACGCTTGGTACTTGAATTGGGTTGTGGGTTAGTGAGAAATTGGCACGAGGTCAATGATGCTTGCAGATAGCAACTGTGATACGGTGGGAGAACTGACTTGAGGTTTTGTGTTTGTTTTCGCAAATGTTTCGGTTGAGCAAGAGTCGCCACCGACTTTTTATTTTATCCTAAAGGAAAGGTTAAAAAGCACAGGAAAAACCTTTTGAGATGTTTCATGGGTTCGGGGGGTAGATTATGAAAAGGGAAGGTATTAGCACCCTTTTCATCCATGGTTATCCATGGGCTCTTAGTTACTTGTTTTAGATCACTTGCCTTGATTTTCAATTGCTTGAAATTGTGATATGTGTGTGTGTTTTGAAAATGTTTTGAAAAAGATGCCTTGTCTAGGCAACCGTTGAAATGAATCTTGTTTGAGTATATGCAAAGGTGTTTGTCTTTTTGAAAAGATGTTTCAAATGTTTTTGAAAGTTGTTTTGAAAGTGTTTGTGGAGTGGATTTTGAAAAGTAGGCAAGTGTTTTTTGCAAGTTTGATCAAGTAACTAAGAGTTGTCTACCCCTAAATTTACTCCAAGGTTTTTCTCATGTTTTAACCCTTTTAACAATTTTGTTCCACCATTGTATTTGGTGGGCAATCTTGCGTTAGGATGTTAACGGGACAGGCGCGGGTCATCGTATGAACCATGAATGCAATGGTGCCAAGTATCTTTGGCAATTTGCTTGAAGGGACTATGATCATTTTGATTAGGCAACTTTCGAAAGCGTCATCGAGGGACTATGATCATTTTGATTTGTTTTGCCAAAGATACTCAACGTGCAAGCATGGCCCATTTTGGAAGGCAAAGAGTGGGATTACCCTAGGGGTGCAAGTGTGATTGGTGTTGTCCATTTTCATGCTTCGTTGTCTTTGAATTAGGTCAAGCTATTTGTTATTTGATTTTTGCATACAAACCCTAAGTCTATCATGGCATATTTAGAAAGCTTTAAAATGCGGAATTAAAAGTCCTAAATTATTACAGAGTAATCATGAAGATGGGGGTACAAATGTTCAAATGGGGATGAGATTTAATAGGAGAGTAGTGTCCAAATATTTACAACCAAATCGAATCAATCGCAAATGAAAAATGTATCAAATGTACAAGAATAAACAAATGTAAATGTATCAATGTATTTGTGTATGTGATTTATTTACAAGTGATAATGATGTTAACTTAATGGAAAAAATTAAGTATTTTTGGATATTTTCATGGTTTAGGGTAAAACCCTAATTTTGCAAATAAATAGTATTTATTATTTATATCATATACAATATTTATTAATTATGTACAAAAAATAAATAAAAGGGAAGTATATTGCAAAAAAGTATTTTTGAGGTTAAATATTAATAAAAATAAAAATGTATTATTTTTATGTTTTTATTCTAAATATTCTAATAAATATATAAGTATTTATATTATATATTAATTATGCTAAATATGTACAAAAAATAAAATATTTATTATTTATAAAAAAAATGTATATTTTAAGAAAATGTTTTCAAAAGATGAAATAAAATAAAATCAGAAAATAAAATGTATTTTGTACTATTTTTTAGTATTTTACATAAAAGTAAATGTATTATTTACAATGTACAAGTTTAAATAAAGCAAACAAAAATCCAAATAAAATGCAAAAATGGGTGGAAAAATGT